AGATAGTAGACCTTTGTCTGAGGAAGAGCAGGTGAAGCTTTTTTCCCACATTGTGGGTTGTCTAAGATAGAGAACATTTCTACTACCCTAGAAGCTTCCCTCATGCCCGTTTCCAATTATATGTCCTATGGAAAATTTTTGTTCCGATTTTAATTATCAAAAATTAATTCACCTGTTTTGAATTTCTGTCTAGCTGGAATTTTATAGTGAGAAAAATTATGAGTTGTGTTAATATAATGCTACTTGTAATAATGTTCATAGCTTAAGAGTATAGTGAGTTAAGAAAATACAAACCAAATTTTGCTCAGAAATTTTAGTAATGTGTATTTTGGAATACTGCTTTCTCTGATGAGATTCCAGAGTAAACTGTGTAGCTTGACATTTATGACCAGCTGTTACCCTTATCACCCTGAATGTGTTTGGGTCTTGTCCATAAATATTCAGTAATATGGTCCTCAACATAGTTAGTGACATGGAATATGATAGAATGTAAAGTGAGACCTTAAATTTCTCAGTGTGTTAAGACAAACCTTGCAATAAAGAGCAAGATATATCAGTAAAAGTTGTTAACCCAAAGAGATTTTAAGTGCCTGTAATTTGGAACAAATAGCTGAAATGTTTATCTAAAATACCATGAGTAAAATATGATAATAAATTATGATCAAGTTATAGGAATATAAATGGAAAGAAATTTTTATGAGCCATAGAAACATCATTGAAGATGAACAAGTAGTTAAAAAGCATCTGTTGAAAAAAGCTAAGAGAAATAAAAGAGAAAAGATAAAAGGTATTTGAAAATTAAACCCAGTGAAGAGAAAGCACAATGTTGAGGCACTGCCTCCTTTCTTCCTCAAAGGATTAACAAGAAGGTTTACATCATAATGTGGAAGACTTGAGTTGACTAAAATGGAGAAGTTTGGCAGGGAGTGCTAAGTATTACCATAGCATACGCTTTCTAAGGGCATTTTGATTTTCACATTTAGAGAATGATCAGAAAGTCCTGTCTTAAGGGGTATGGATTGGGTCTTTCATAAGCCCTGTTCTCTGATAGTACATCAAAGGAAAAGGAAAGAAAATATGAGAAGCTATATTGTCTAATATTTTATTTAATCATACCAGTAGCAGATTCCAGCTATATTCTTTGGTGTGTTTAAGCAAGCATGTGTACACACACACACACACACACACACACACACACACATCCTGCCAAGGAAACAGAAGTGTGTGATTTAATTTACAACTGCTAGATTAGAGGTTGTTATGACAATGGCATAAAGTACATATGTACTTTTTTTTCTAATTTTAAAATGGCATTAGTTCTCTATTTAGTTCATAGCATTCTGAAAAATAATTAAAAAGCAATAAACAAATTAGTTACTATAAAGACCTTTATACAAAAAGACAATTTTACCCTTTTATATTTTTTTCTTCTTCTTTTCCACTTAAATCATTCACAAAATACTAATCAATTCATATAAGAAGTAATGCTTGATGCTTAAACCAGAACAATAACCAAAGCCAACCCACAAAGATACTTCCATTGATGTTGTCCTGGTGCAGATGCAGTGATATTTTAGTTCTTTGCATGGCAAGCATTTTTAGAGTCTAATGTGTTAAAGTTGCCTCTGACTCCTTTGCCTATTATCCTTGACTAGTGATCCAGAATAGATTACAGGATCCTCTTAATAAGCAAACTTATTTTAGAAAAGAAACTTAGAGGGTTGAGTAATTACTGTATTTAGGCTGATTAAGAAATTACCACTGATTTCATTTTTTTCTTTTATCATTTATTTTAAAAATAACTTCATGAGGAAAATTATCCTGGCAAGCCCTTGAAACTGAATTTTCAATTGTAAAATGAAAAACAAATATCAGTGTAAGAATTTACTTCGATCCCAAGATCTAAGCAAAATCATGTTGGTGAATACCAGATATATACCTTAAATCCAAGATGGAATTGAGAGGACAAAAGGACAGAGGAAGATGAGAGAGAGCAAGGGTCTGATAAGGAAGGGAGAGTGGCAAATAGAAAGAATAGTACACACTCACCATCAATGTAAAAAAAAAAAAAGAGCTACAAATAGTTGTTATCTTGTTGAAACAACCTCAAAAATATTTACTGTTTATTCCTCTAAGAATTGGATCCATAAGCATGGTCCCAATAGTATTCAGATGGTTACTACATTAGCCAACTTTCCCTTGCCAGAACAAAATACCTGGCATGTGATACTTAAAGAAAGACAGGTTTATTTAGGCTCACAGTTTCAGAGGTTTTAGTCCATGGTTGTCTGGCTCCAAAGCAGGAACGTTATGACAAAAGGATGTGATAGAGCAAATCTGCTCACCTCTTGGCAGCCAGGAAGCAGAAGACAGGGGAAGAGTGCCAGAGAGGAAGTGACTGACAACCAGCTATACTCCCTAGTGCCACGCCACCATGACCCAACCACACACATCCGGAGTGTACTTTTCTAATCTCTTAGGTGGCTCTCAAGCCAACCAAGTGGACAACCAAGATTAACATTCACATTCACAGTGACATCTACATTACTAGGACAAAATACCAGATTCACACAGCTTAAAAGAGAAAAGTTGTATATTTTGGCTCATGGCTTCGGAAGTTTGAGTGTATGGTCAGTTAACTTCAAGGCAGAAACAACACCAGAGAAGAAAGCGGCTCACCCCATGGCAACCAGGAAGCAGAGAGTAAGGGAAGAGCCAGAGAGAGGAAAAGGCCTGGGGACAAGGAAATGCCCTCCTGGGTCATACCCCGGTGACCGACTTCCTTCCACCAGGCACAACCTCCTCCAGTATAGTGAGCTATTTGGCATACTGCACATTGGTGCCCCCAGGACCTGGTCACTCACCAAAAGTCTTTCCTCTGAACACATGAGCCTTTGGGAGGTACATTTTTGGTCTAAACCATAAGAAGTATGAAATTAAATGCCTGTAAGTAGGCACATTCATTCTTGCAGACTCTTCTAGTGATGAAATTCCATGAGTAATGCTTAGGAATTCATGCTGTGAATAAAATAATCTTGTCACACCTTTACTAACAGGATTGGGGCCAGTTTAATAGTTAGCTTCATGTAATTAATCAAAGCCTTGTCATCAAGAATTACCCTGTCTTCTCCAGGAAAATGGACTTGGTAACCTTCCTCATCTTTCCTAGGTCTCATATTTGTGATTTATTCACCTGAATGACAGTAAGGCTTATAATATCATGAGCAAGAATGTAAGAAGAATGTGATAGTCTAGTCCAAGTGGAAGAAAGTGTGACTACGTTTTTTTCTTTATTACTTATCACATTTAATAATGTCATATGCCCCTTTTTGTTAGTATTGCAACTTAATGTTGTCCAAAGTAAGATTTATGTTTCAAAGAAGAAAAAAATAATTTTTGTGTTTTTTTAAAGACCAAAGTATGCATTGTTAGATGAATGCACCAGTGCCGTCAGCATTGATGTTGAAGGGAAGATATTTCAGGCTGCGAAAGGGGCTGGGATGTCTTTACTGTCCATAACACACAGGCCTTCTCTTTGGTAAGTCGTTCCATGGCCGGCTGATCTGTGAAATATGCTTTCTCCTTCTGTTTGTTTAAAGAACTTTGCAGAACTTTTCACTGTAGACCATGAGGCATTTTGCTTATTTTCTTACCTGTATTCTAAGTTGTACCTTAATCATGTAGAATTCCTTCCAATCTGTTGTCATAACTGTAATGTGTTATTTGGTCATTATCATCATTTTCTAGTAATCTCTTTGAATTGAAAATATTTATCATAATCCTAGTATATATTAGGAAAGAATATATTTATATATTTTTAAATCATTCTTTTAGGCCTTTTTTTTTGGAACCAGGGATCAAACTCGGGTCCTTGCACTTGCAGGGCAGGTGGCGGAACCACTGAGCTAAATCTTTGGCTTTTTAGGTGTTGTTGTTTTTTTTTAAATCAGGAGATGGGGGATTGGGGGAATGGATGACAATTTGATATTTCCCCAAGTGATAAAGTTATAGAACACATGGGAAGAAAAGCTTATTTTTAAGTAAAAATGAACTGAACTTTTTTTAGTAATATTTCATGAAATTTAATAGGATTTTTCCCCTTTTAAAAAGACACTATTTTTATAGCTTTCCTACTTTTTCATTGATTTATTGTCATAGTAACAATTGCCAATGAAGGTTTAGCACCTATTTTGGGCCAGGTTCATTTTATGTAAGTCTCACAACAACCCTATGGAATATAGGTCATCTAATTCTACCATTTTACAAAGAATCTGAGAATTAGAAAACTGAGAAAATTAGCTTCCACAATAACATTCTGTGTACTATGATATACAGCCATATCTACCGTAAGAGAGCTCAAAATGTATTCATACATAAGCCATAAAAACACTTGCTCATTCTTACTTATTCTGTTTCATCAATCAAAATCTTTTCCTTTTGGCGTATTAGTAGCTATGTGACTCATTCTTGTATGTGCTTTGGGCTCCTATTTCCCTGGGAGTGAACAGGCCTCCCCCACCACCACTTCCCTTTCCCCTTCCCCTCCTGCATTCCGTGACAGGTGGCTGATCAGACTCCATGCCAAAGCTGCCATCATACATGGCTACCAAACTAGACTAACAGCAACCTTTGCATTCATCCTTGAAGCTCTTTATACCTTTTTTCTTACAGAGAATAGCTACATTAAAAATTATGAGAGAGCAGTATTTATTGTTCAATGTTCTCTGACTCTGGATTTCATTTCTATTGAGAGTATTAATCTATTCTCACTGCATTTAAACATTCAGATTTTTCAGAATTTTTCCCCTAGAGATAATGGATCTGAAAGTAGAACACTTCATAAAGTGACCCTAACTTTGTGGGTTTTCTCTTCATTGTTAGAAATCAAGCAACATCTAGAGTGATAGGATGTGCTAATCTCTCCAGAGACACTCTGGATCTAGTCCAGCATGCATTAGAATTTCTGTCAATGGATAGGATTCTCCTGACCTTTCCTTAAGAAATCCAACAGATCCTGGGTCTTTAAGCCAATTATGACATTTTCCTGTAAATCCTCTAAATTAGGGATGACATAGAGCCAGGGCAGAACTGTGGAGCCCTTTTTGGCATGGACCTGAGTTCCAGACAAGCTCCCAAAATGGCATAAAACAGAGTTACCTCTTTGAGCTGATGTTTTTCTGACCTTTATCAATGGTTTTATTATTCTATCTTGTCATTTTTTCTTCACTCCATTAGCCTGAAGAGACACTGGAAATATTTCAGTCATTGTTTTCTCAACTAGAGGAACAAATAGTTTTCTAAGCAAATAGCAGAATCTGTAATGTTATGTCTTTTAACCAGGAAAACATAATTGAATTGCAGCTGCCCACAGTTCATTTCTCCATAAAACTAAACTCAATGTCAGTTCTTTGTGAATTAGTTTAATCATTTTACAGAAAATATCATTTCTCTTTATCTTTTCTCTCAGGGAAAGTACATTTATTATTTTCTCTGAAAGGACTTCAGAAGTAAGAAAAGACTCATTATCTTTTCCACCATAACAACAAATGGGTAATTGTTGATTGTAAAGATTAAAATTGCTACCAATGTCTAAAGAATTAAAAAAATAATAGCTTATTGAATTATTTCTAAGTTTTATCCTATTTATAAAGGAACCCTTGGGGGCCAGGGGTTTAGCTCAGTGGTGCCACTGCCTGCCTCACAAGCGCAAGGTCCCAAGTTCGATCCCTAGTACCAAAAATAAATAAATAAATAAAAATAAAGGAACCCTACAGATCATCTCTAATGAGTCACAGTTAAAATAGCTGTTTCTTTTAAATTCCTCTGGTTATCCTAAACCTTGAAATATTATTTTAGCTAATACTACAGAACTTGCCTTTGACTCTCAGGGCATGGAACACCTACTGAGTTTGTTCCGCCCCTGTAGAAATCAAGTAATGTTGTAGGACCAGGGTGATGAGTTAAACCTTCATTATACTTTGAGGTAGAGCTTACCCAAGAGATGAATAACCACAACCTAAAATTGCTTCTAGCTGTGGATCCAAGGCTAGGATAGCCTCAAAAAAGTTGTGAAGGAAATAAATAAGATGGACTCTTTGCCATTATTTCTCTTTCCTATTGTATTCTATTATTTTTGCCTTAACCTTCATATTATAACAGGATGTTTTGGCATTTTTTCCCAATTGACATAGAAATACACTGCTTTCAGTTTAATTTTGAGATGGTCCCAGCTTCTGGGAGATCAGATTTTTCGAAATCTGGGGAAACTAAAGGTATAAGGAGAAGACTATTAATCTGTGTCATCCATTATCAAATTTAAACTGTCAGCTTGACAGTCACCTTACTTTATCAGCTAAGCTAGCTAAATTTCCCCTTTGTGAAACATACAATTTAAAGAGAGTTAAGGCTGGGGGTTGTAGTTTAGCACTTGTTTAGCATGTGCAAAGCCTTGAGTTTGATTATTGCAAAAAAATGGGGGGAGGGTATGTGTCAGTCACTTTCTCATCACTGGGACACAATACCCAACACCCACGACTGAGTGAGGAAAAGTTTATTTTGGCTCACAATTTCAGAAGTTTCAGTCCATGTTAGACAAGTTAAAATGCAGAAATGGGATGGTAGAAGGGCCTGCCATGGAGGAAAGCTGCTCAGGTCATGGCAGCCAGGAAGCAGGAAGAGAGAAGGGAGGGGCTGGGGAGGGAGGTGAGCCCTTCCCTTCCCCTTCCTGGTGACTGCCTCTTCTCAGATCTCCTAACAGCACACTCATCCACAGACTCATCCGTGCATCAGCCCATGGATGAGCACAGCTTCCCAGTGATCCAGTCACCTTCTAAAAACATGAGACTTTTGGGGGACACATTTCAGATCTAAATCATACTGGAGGTGTGGTATACAGAAGTCCATCAGTTGATGAGTAACAGAATGTACAATGCTGTTCAAGGGAATATAATTTAGCTATAAAAGCCAATGAAGTATTGACACATACTACAAATGAATGAACCTCGAAATCATTTTGATAAGTGAAAGAAGCCAGTAACAAAAGCCACATATTGTATGATTCCATGTACATGAAATACTTGAAATGGAGAAATTCAGAGACAGAAAGGAGATTAGTGGTTGGCAGGCCCTGGACGGAAGGAGACATGGCGAGGACTGCTAACACAGTTTCTGTTGTGCATGAAGATGTTCTGAAATTAGGTAGTGGTGACAGTTTCATGAGCTTGTGCATATACTAAAAACCACTTAATTGTACTCTTTAAAGGGTAAATTTATGTCCTGAGTATTATATCTCAGTTTTTTGAAACAAAGAGGTAGACGCTTTCCTGAAAAAGTTTCAGTAGTTTTAATAAATAATAATAGATGACAGTTTAACAGGAAGCAAGAAGTAAGACAACCTACAAAGAAGACAGAAAACTGAAGAGTCCTGGATCAATAAAGCAAAGTGACACTATCCAGGTGGCTCAGCTATGGGTACCAGCTCTCTACTTCCGGTCTCCGCACATCTCCCAAAGACTAGTGACATCGCCTTTCCGCTTCAGAGAAGATGGGTTATTTCGGACTTTGTAAATAATAATCTCACAGGGCTGTCAAATTCCTACCTCTAACTGAGCCATGAAAAAAAGAAACTAAATCACACAAAGATAGGAAAGAATATTTAAAAGATTTCTATCAATGAGTTCCTTAAAAAAAATTTTTAAAGTTCCATTATTGAGAAATTTTTACTTATGTAGAAAAACTCATTTCCAAAGAAAGGTAAAATAATAAATTCCTATTTTATTTCTTTTATTTTCCTTAGTTTTTCTCTGCGTGCCCTTTTAAATTTTTACTTTCTTTCCTTGGTTTCTTTTGCTTGCTTCCATTCTAAGAATACTTTATTATTTAAGAAGGAGCCATCCATACTGGGTTATAAAGATAAATTAATACACATAACAGTGTAGTCTTCCTTTGTAATTCTTATACAGTCAGAATGTGAAATAAATTTAACACAATCAATGATAATTTCCTGGAGATTAATGACTTTTGAATTTTAGAATATTACAGTATTTATCTTTTTGTGATATCCTTGAAAATCAAATGTAAACTAGGCAACTTTGCTTAAAATTTGCCTTTGACTATCAATTAGAATTATAAACCTGTGACAAAAATTGTTTTTCACAATTATGGCTAATAATATTATTTCATTTTAATCATGCAGGAAGTACCACACTCATTTATTACAATTTGATGGTGAAGGAGGTTGGCGGTTTGAACAATTGGATACTGCTATTCGTTTAACATTGAGTGAAGAAAAACAAAAGCTAGAATCTCAACTAGCTGGAATTCCCAAAATGCAGCAGAGACTCAATGAACTATGTAAAATTTTGGGAGAAGATTCAGTGCTGAAAACAATCAGAAGTGAAGATGAGACATCCTAATTTGTTTTGACATGTCTTAAAAGTTAATTTTTAGATAAAGACTCACAGATAGCCTGTTACAGTGCATGCAATGTGTTAAGCTAAGCACAGACAACAAAGCCAGCAAGAAATATTTTATATGACTTTAGAATCAAAGAAGCAGATGGTCTAACTTTTAAGAAGAAAATTAAAAAAATGCATGATGTGAGATTAGTCATGATGGCTTACACCAATTCTTAGTGAAAGCCTAATTTACCTGTAAAACAGGATTTTCTAGGTGAACTCGTGGTGAACACCAAATTACTATGTATATGAGATGTGTCTGACATTTTTAACTGGAGATATCTCTTGGAAATGCAAACTTAAGGCAGCAATTGGGCTGATATCAAGTGCATAAACATTAGAACTCTGAGTACCATTTAAGTCTTTTCATGACTGATGTTAGTTTTAATAACTATAATATATGTTCATCATTGCTAGTGGCCAACTAAACCTTATAGAAGCTACCTGAAAGTTTAGGAAATAACTTCAATATAAAAAATATTTTAATGGCAGTGGTTGAGAGGAAAAAAAGCATGGCTAAATAAGCATAAAATGCCATTTTTAAAAATTTTAAACTTTGAGTATCTTAATACAGGGACATAAAAATTAATTTTAATGAGAATCTTCCATATTTCTTAATAAACCTTTTCATTTTTAAAAGAGAATTGCCAACATAGAAATGGTGTATCCAAACAATGTTTGTCCCAGGCTGGTATTTTGCTTGGCAACATTATCTATTACAATTCTTTCTAGAAATATTGCTTTATTGTGTGTGTATGCCCAAAAGAGGAGTCCATACTTTAAAAAATGTAAAGCTACAATAAAATTTTTTTTAAATTACAATAATATTAGCATATATTTGGAATAGCACTTTATAATTTATAATCTCCATTTACATCATTTTATTTTAATGTTTGTGGCAATCTTTTGAGACAGATATTATTTTTCTATTTTGATATTGAGAAAAATTGGCACTCAGATTTACTCTAATTATGTGATGTATCTAGGGACAGATCTGGGGATCAAATGAAATTCTCCTAACTCTGATTCAGTGCTGCTCCCACCATTGAACTTTATTTAACTGGGTTATAATGGTAAACTTAGGTGGGCTGGTAGATGGCAGGAAGTGAGGCTTTAGGCAAGGGAGAAAGATGAGGCAAAAGAGCATACAGGTAGACATGTAAAATATTTCCATTGAAAACAAATCCCTCTTTCACTATAGGTGGATTTCCTGATTATCGAGCACATAGGACCTTACAGTTTTTATTGTGGCGTTTTCATAGCCAGTTTTCCACTTACCAGCTGGAGTGTATTAATAAAACTGAGAAAAGTGACTTTAGTGGTTAAAATCATTACATGTCTAAACAAGAATGTGGCTGTATATAAATACATTATAATACCATCTCTAATTCAATGTGTAGTTATCAGAGCTGAACATTCCTTATGAATTCCTTAATCACCATGAAAAAGCCTTGATTAATCAAAGAAATTACAAACCACTCCAGTGATAGAAAATGCCCCATACTTTACATGGCTATGTTGGGTTTGTGTGCACACATACCTCCATTACAAATTGTGGGGTGCAAAATCTTGTGAAGTGTTGTGTACAACAGTCATAAAATTGTTTAAATGTTAATTTCCTTTATTAACTCAGAACCTTTATTAAGTTCTAACTTATGCCAGGCACTGTGCTAAATCCTAGGAATAAGTGAAATATGGTCCCTATCGCAAGCTTACAGTCCAGTGAAAGTCAGGAAAATGAATATATTCGATCATAAACTTAATAGTTATATTTATTATTTATCCAGTGGGCATAAAACATTGCATATACATTGATTCATTAAACTAATTCACTGAACTAATTCAACAAAAGAGGAAAGTGAAGACATAGGGTTAGGTAATTTATCCAGCCTCATACAGTACCCGGGCACTGGACTGAAATTTAAACCAGCAATGTTTGATTAGAAAGCCTGTGGAACTCCATATCATCTTCCTTTTAATCATTAGACCATTCATTATTAACTTTTTGTGGTACTGAGGATTGGATCCAGGGCCTTCACACTGAGCTACATCTGTACCCCTATTAAATTTGGTTTATCTATTTTTTGAGATAGGATTTCACTAAATTTCCTAGACTGCACTCGAATTTGTGATCCTCGTGCATCAGACTTCCAAAGTGCTGGGATTACACATGTGTAACACCATGATTAGCTATTATTGCTGTTTTAAACTGAAGTTTCAGTGTGTGTAGTTAACCAAGCCAATATATTTTTCTGTGTTGAAAGGGAATTCATGTAACATAAATTGCAATTTTCAAATAAATTATGGATGTTTCATTATAAATTATGGGATGAGGAAAACATAAGGCAACTTTTCAGATGTTTTGAGGAAGAAATGTTCAAACTGATTCTAATTCACTCATTCAATAAAAACGGACACATTCAAGGCACCAGCTACTGTGCTAGGGATTGAGACGAGAGAAACAGACTGGGTCTTGGCACTTGCACAAGTCTCAGTGGATCAATGCTGAGCCTGTTGGATCCTGCAGTTCCATGTGATTGTTTTCTGGTACCTTCTTAGTCCTTGCATGTGTTACCTAAGACCATTCTGGTGTAATCTTTAAGCAATAAACATATTTTGGCAGCAGGATTCCCTGGATATCTGGGCATGATAATCCTCATGCTCCATTTTAGTGTACATTATAAGGCACAGTAAAACCAATCCTGGGACTTGGCTGTTAGGTGCTCCCATGTAGTTAGTATGTGGTCTTGAAACTAGGGAAATATCATCCCTGATACAGAGCATGGAAAACAAGTCAGATTTGTACACTCAAAAGCATATTTCTTATGGTAACACAAAATTTAGATAATTATAGCAAGAAAGATAGAAAAAGGAAAAGCAATCATTATAAAAGCTAATAAACAAGAGTTCCAAGTTAGACGCATGACTGGATGTAGCCCAGTGTGAAGGACTTGGGTTCGAGCCCCAATATCACACACAACAAAATGTTCTGTCTTGGTTTCTGTGACCCAATATAAATGGTAAGGTGATTAAGTACTCATCTCATGTGTTTTTATGTGATTTAATACCTAAAAGACAGATTCTGGGGCCAGGGATTTAGCTCAGTGTTTCTGCCGCCTGCCTTGCAAGCACAAGGATTGGAGTTCGATCCCTGCTAAGTTTCCATGTTCCTTATAGACAGGATCTACATGAATGAGGTTAATGTAGACCCAAACAGATACATGTTTTTTCTGCAACCTACATACATATGCGTGTATCCACACACACACACACACACACATGCATGATTCTTCAGAACACAAATTTCTGAAGACTTAAGTAAAAATAGAATTTTTTTATTATTGTAAAGAATGTCCAACACAAAAATTTTCATCTTTAGTATTTTTTAATGTATAGTTCAGTAGTCTTAGTATATTCACATTGCTGTAAAACAGACCTCTTGAAATCTAAAACCCTATATCCATTAAACAACTCTTCTTTAATCCCTCTGTCCAGCCCTCATAGCTACCATTGTATTTCTATGAATTTATTTTAGATAACTCATGTAGGTGGAGTATACAGTGTTTCTCTTTTCTTGAATGGCTTCTTTCACTTAGCATAATGTCCTCAAGATTAATCTATGCTGTAGCATGATTCCCTTCCTTAAAGGCTGAATAACGTTCAGCCATATTTTGCTTTAGGGTTGCTCTTACTGCTTGGTGTGAATAGAGCTTCATTAACATGACTGCACAATTACTTCTTTCATTCACCCAGCAGTGAGCTGCTGAATTGTACACGTCTTTGTGGGATATCCATGCAGTTTCACAATGGTTGCACAATTTTACAATCGTACCAGGGATGCACAAGGGCTCCAGTTTTTCTACAGCCTCACTAACATTTGTTGTTTTCAACTTTTTTGAAAATAGAGCCATCCTAATTGGCCTGAAGTGATATTGCTCTCATAATTAGTGACGCTTCGTATCTTTTTAATATGCTGTTGCCCGTGTGTATATCATCTTTGGAGAAATATATTTTCAAGTCTTTGCCTGAAGAGTTAGAATATGGAAACTTGTTTCATGTTGTTCAAGCCTCACCATGATCTAACTCAGGCTGTTAATTCTTCTGCTTCCAAAAGCTATCTCTTCTTATCCCTCCTTTATTCTTCTGCTCCTCATTCCCTTAGCTGAATACGTGAGGAAATCTCATTTACTTTTCTTCTTATTCGTTAGTTTTATTTTCTCAGCCAACACGGTCCCTATCCTACCATCTCTGTCTAGTAAAACTCTCTCTACCTTTAAGACATTTTCAATCATTTCCAGTTATATATTAATTTTTCCTTTCTATGCTTGAAAAGGACTTTATTTGAAATCTTATCATTACATTTATCACTGCTACCTTTTATCATTTATCTGTGTAGAATGTACCTTTCCCACTCATTTAATCTGTCATTTATTTCTCACATAAGCTTTGACTATTCTATCTAAAATAGTCCCCCAAACAGTCCCTCTTCAAGACATCACCCAGTTTTATTTTTATGCAACTTATTTCAATTTATCTTAGTAGCCTATCTGTGAATTGATTCTGCCTATCACTTCTACCTATGAACTCTGTGGGCTTGGATTCTTGCTTGTCTTATTTACTGAAGTATTCATGGCACCTAGAACAACTCATGACGGGTGGGAAACACTGGAAATGTATTTGTTCGATAGGGGCATAAATGGAAGAGTGAGCAAACAAATATTATTCATTGTGAGAACAAATAAAAAGCACTGAAAGAAAGTCAGGCATGTAGCACATGCCTATAATCCCAGCACTCTGGGAAGCTTAAACAGGAGGATCACAAGTTTGAGCACAGCCTGGGCAACTTAATGAGACTTTGTCTCCAAAAAAAAGGCAGAAAAGTCACTGAAGGGAAAATAAAAAGAGAGTGAACCTTTTCCTTTACATCCTTGTATATTAAATCTACATTGCTATGTAAATTATAATCTTAAGTTTTTTTGTCTTTCTGAAAAAAACAAAAATTTAGCATCTTGGGAAATTCATACTATTTGCTTTATCTTCTTTATTGTTTATTATTTATTTTTTAAGCAATATCATTTTATTTATTTTGGATACAACACCCTCAAATAATGTCTGAATCTAAAGGTATGTTTAAAATGGCCTCAAATGTTTTTAAATAATAGATTTGAAGTCATTTGTAATTTCTCCTTCATAACATGAATTCTTCCGGCTGGGCAGTAAACGGCAAGCTGTATGGAGTCACGTTAAGGCAGAAGACAGAGCTCTGGCAATGGTGCCTGCTCCGGGAGATGATCTTGTTGGAGCCGGAGATCCCAAACCACAGGTCCTTCTGCTCCCTTCACTTGGGTGGTGCTTGACATCCCTCACAGGAGGTAGCCCAGGGCCAGGAGGTCATAGATACCATACCATCATTATCATCAACCCCAGTGACCTCCGGGGGCTCTTTCTTCAAATTAGTCATGAACACACTTTTGCTTTCTGTAATGTTTATATAAAGCTCAATACCAACAGAACAACCCAAATAACTACCTGGTGATGAGAACAAAGAGATCAACTCAAAGCAGACCAAAAAATTTACCTTCAATAGTATTCATTGGAAATACAGCACCTCTCCATACCACATGCCTCAGGTATGGGCTTGTGTGATGATTAGGAGCATAGGCTCTGGAGAAAGACTGCTTGGTTGAGTATTGCCTCAGTCACCTCCCTGCTGAGCATATTACTTAACCTCACCATTTCTCATTTTTTATTTTTTTTAGTTTTTGGTACCAGGGATCAAACTCGGGACCTTGCACTTTGGAGGCAGGCAATGGAACCACTGAGCTAAATCCTGGCCCCATTTCTCATTTTTTAAATGGAGATAATAGTACTTAAGTTGTGAGACCTAACTAACTCCATTTTAAAGTTTGACTCCATCTTGGAATAAGACAGTAAAGTGGCCTTGACATAAATTCCACTTCACTGAAGTCAACTATTCCCCTAGTCTCTTT